AAATGTACAACGTTTCGACAAGGGTTTGTCATCATCAAAACCTTGTCGAAACGTTGTACATTTGCTGTTGTATTAAAGTTTTTCTTCATTACCCATTCAAGCCGTCTCCAGCCATTATTAGTCTCAAAGTGGGTTCCTCGTCATCGAATTTGAAAACAAAAACTTTGTTAGAAAAGACAAGTGTTGTTAATGTCCTTACTACGTATTGTTAGTCCATCCTTAAAGTAATAATACATTTTATCAATAACCAATGTACTAAACACTAATCACAACCAAGTTAGACAAAACTATTTCTGTATCCTTAACACTATCTGTTTAAAACTCTCATCAGAACCTAGATAGTCAGAACTTCTTTTGAATCTCTCCAAGTCATACTTTGTAAACTGCTCATGGTTTGAAAACGTAGTCCTGTGGGTTTCCATGGTTTCCTCTTCTTCGGATTACCTTAGATACAGAAAACGAAGAACTTGTACGTTTACTGTAGAAATTAAACTTACTACACGTGTTTTTACATATATAGTTTTATATTATATTATCAATAATAAACGTTACTTACCGTCCAGCCTCCTCCATCTGTATCCATGTCTCAGTAAACATTGAAACTTCCTGTAGTCATCTATAACTTTGGCCAGATATGGTACTATCCATTGGTACGGTGTCCGTAAAGCAGAACATCAGCACAGCTCTGCTGGTCCAGGAGAGGAAGGATAACATGTGTGGACTGTTTCTTTACAGACTAAGTGTTTTTCTAAGATATAAAGACATAACATTCACCTTTGCTGGGAAGGTTCGACATATATATATCTGTGTGTGTGTGTGTAAATGTCTAAATAACTTGTTTTTTAAATGTTTATATATTTTTATTAATCGGTTAAAACTGTAAACCATCCACAGGTGTAGCGTAGTTTCTAGTACTGTTGTTTATGTTCAGTAATAACAATTCCTTAAGTATATATACATACATATCATTGTAAATAGTTTAGAACGAATGATAAGTTTTGTACAGTTTATACAAATTTATAGATTCGCATAAACTTAACAAAAGTTATTACACAGTTGGTACAGTATGTTCTACATGGTTGGTACATTTGGTTATTATACAGTTGGTACAGTGTGTTCTACAAGGTTGGTACATTTGGTTATTATACAGTTGGTACAGTGTGTTCTACAAGGTTGGTACATTTGGTTATTATACAGTTGGTACAGTGTGTTCTACAAGGTTGGTACATTTGGTTATTATACAGTTGGTACAGTGTGTTCTACAAGGTTGGTACATTTGGTTATTATACAGTTGGTACAGTGTGTTCTACATGGTTGGTACATTTGGTTATTATACAGTTGGTACAGTGTTTTCTACCTGGTTGGTACATTTGGTTATAATACAGTTTGGTAAAGTGTGTTCTACATGGTTGGTACATTTGGTTATTATACAGTTGGTACAGTGTTTTCTACCTGGTTGGTACATTTGGTTATAATACAGTTTGGTAAAGTGTGTTCTACATGGTTGGTACATTTGGTTATTATATATTTAGTACAGTGTGTTCTACATGGTTGACACATTTGGTTATTATATATTTAGTACAGCGTGTTATATTTAGTTGGTAGATTTGGTTATTATACAGTTGGTACAGTGTGTTCTACAAGGTTGGTACATTTGGTTATTATACAGTTGGTACAGTGTGTTCTACAAGGTTGGTACATTTGGTTATTATACAGTT